AGTTTGTTAAGAAATGTACAAAGGCTAATCGGTCTAAAATCATTCCAATTATTGGGGCCATCTTTTTTCAAAATAAGGACAATATTAGTGGAGGAAAAAAAATTGGGATAAGAGTTTCCCTTAAAAAAATCCTTCACAGCTCAATCACATCCACCTTAATAGTATCCCAATTATGTTAAAAAATTTTGGTAGAAAAATCATCAGGGCCAGCCACTGCATCACCATTAAGGTCATTAATCACATTGAAAATCTCTTCATCAGAGGGGATTTGTCAAAGTAAATTGTTATCAACCTCATTAATAATTCTAGGAATAATATTAGGATTACTTATAGGAGCGCACATACAGTGACTATTAAAAATCTTCATGAAATGATCAACGTCATACTTACAAATTAAGTCATCCGAGACAATAGAGTTGCCATCATCATCAACAATTTTATGAATCTGACTCTTAGTTCTCTATATATTAGCTAACATATGGAAGAATTTATTGTTCCTATCTCCTTCCATAAAAAATTTAGCATTAGATTTTTGTTTCCAAAAAGACTCTTCGTGAAGTTACAATTGAAAGAGATTTTCCTTGGCTTTATTAAGGCAAATAAGATTATCAGAATCAGGATTATTCAAGTAGATGTTATCTAACTCAGTAACTTTCAATTCAGCTTCTTTAATATTAGAGGATATATTTTTAAAAATATTTTTGTTCCATCATCTCAAATATTGTTTAAGTCTACTCAACTTAGCCCATAATCTAATCATGCCAGCTATGTTATTATCAGGGTAGACAGGGGCACTCCAATTAGTATTAATTACATTCATAAAATCAGCATGAGACATACGCATATTATGAAATCTAAAAGCATAAGAAATAGAATGATTAATATTGTTAACATTCAATAGAATAAGATAATGATCGGAAAGAGTTCTACTTAAATGTTCAACATTAGTCATAGGAAAATATGCAATCCACTCATTATTGAAAAGAAATCTATCTAATATTTGCCATAAATTAGCTCCATTCCAAGTAAAAGGGCTCCCAAAAAAGCCAATATCATTCAAATTGCAATCGTTATTCATAGAGTTAAAATCTTCCATAGCTTTAGCATTAGGAGGATTACCACCAACTCGTTCAGAAGCATTAGAGATGATATTGAAATCACCTCCCACACACCAAGGGCCATTAATATTAGAAGCAAAATTATTTAAATTATCCCAAAGAGTGATACGGTTGACTCTAGTGTAAGCAGCATACACAAAAGAAGCATAACAAGTGACATTAGATATGATAATATAACAATGAACAATTTGAGGTAGATCATCAACAATATTTAACGATATGGAATTATTCCACATAATCTTTTATTAGAGCAGTTAGAAAATTACTTCGAGTAACCCAAAGTTTTAGCAGTAGATTCAATTTTAACATTGGCAATAAAAGGTTCAATTAACACAAGTAAATAAATATTATAAATTCTACAAAGATTGCTGACTCTAACCTTAGAATCCTTACCCCCAATCCCCTTACATTCCAAATGAGAGCTTTAATCATTACATTCTTTTGAAGAAGCTTGAGCTCTGGTGGATCTCGGGGTGGCAGGTAAGACATTTTTTTGTTGTTTACCTTTCTTTTTAGTGACCATTTTGAGACCGTCCTCTTTAGAAGTTTTAGTAGTATCTTTTTCATGATTAGCCAAAGAAGAGACATCCTGATTACCATTAATATTATCAATACAACCGGATGGTGGAATAAATTCACCTTCTTCGCACTCCTCATTAGTTTCACTTCTATTACCAACTAAGACATTAGCCTTAACCCTTTTTGTTTTGAAATAGAGGTCGCATAAGGTTCAGAAATATTAGTATGCTCCAATTCATTAAACATAGATTCAATAGAAACAAATATAGTAGGTTCATTTTCAGTTTCATTGCTGGCACCATTAAAAATATTTCCAATCTTATCATTAACAACTTCCACACTTGTTTCCTGACATTCATCCACCAAAAAAGTATCATTTTCTAAATTCCCTTCTTCCAGATTTTCTAAAATTCCTTCTAAGTTATGAGTAATAGGCATCGGTTCCATCTGGTTCTCTTGGGTCCAACATTTTTGTCAACTACAGGCATATAAATAGTCTGATTTTCGGTAGATTCATGCTTCCTATTATTCATAACATTAGTTTTTTTTAGATCTGAGTGTAGTATAAAACAATCGTTTTGAGCATGCCCATGAATTTTATAATGAGAACAAAAATTTGGGACTTTTTCAAACTTAGCTTTTTGAAGATACCCGAAAGCTTTGGAACCAACCCAAATTTCTTTTGGATGTTTTTTGGAAATATCAACCTCAACTAGAACTCTAGCAATATAAGGTCTAGTGCGAGACGTAGTAGCCTGGTCCGTCTGAAGAGGTCTCCCGAAAATCAAACCCAGTGCATGCAAAACTTTCAGGTTAAAAAAATGGAGATGAAGATTAGAAAAAGAAATCCAGATCAGGACTTTCGGGTCCATTTCAAGATTCGCATTTGACAGTTAAAAAAAAAATACGACCGTCTAGCAAAAATACGACTGTAGTCTAGATCGTTAGAAAGCTGTATAGCCACATGCCGAGAGTCAAGCAATCCAACTGAATAAAATCCAGTAAGTTTCAAAGACGTAAAAAATTTACGTATAACATCCAGATTAGGTCTCCGCAAACCAAATTTTCCAACCAGCTTAAATTGAAACGGAGAAGCTAATTTTAAGACTTCATCATCAGATAACAAAACAGCAGGAACTCCATTAAAAGTCGATTGAGTTAGAGATGGAAGATCATCACCTGCAGACGTGCTACCAAAAAGTACCTCTTTAAAGGAGCAAGATTTAGAAGGAGATTTGGAACCATCACTATCCAGATTAAAGAAACCCTTAATATTAAAATAATTATTTATCTCTAATCTATCAATCAAAAACTTAAAAAATTGGTGTGTTTGTGTGTGTGTGTGTGCTTCTTTTGTATAAGAGAGATTATAATTTAAATTTTAAACCTATTGGACTATAGATCATCCTTTATAAGCTTGTAAGTCTCTTATGTTTTGGATTTTTTACTAATAAAATTAATTAAAAAATCACTAAATTTATAAACATTATTCCTAGATATTTCCCATTATTATAATGATTGTCCTAACTCTTGGTAATGATTTTATATGTATGAATACCCTAGTTTGGGTATAACCCTACCCTAGGGGTAGAGTTTGACCTGTTTAACCAATTGGGTCATAAACTATACCATTGGCTCATTTAATTTCCCTAATCAACTCTAGGTGGCATTAGTGCATGCTTTATACCATAAATCAAGAAAGGTTAATGATCCTTATAAGATTTAAGGACTTATCTCAGTCCTTAGGTTAGCTAACATATTTCCTTAGTAGACCCCCATCTATCTTTGGGGACATCTAATGGCTTTCCCATCGTAGCATTTCTACTCAAGGTGTTTGTTGTCCCATTAGGTCATGTTTCTTCTCGTAGGCCCAAAAAATTTAGATTTGGTCAATATTGTCTACTTAGGTGGCTTAGAGGGTCTACCATAACAAATATGGCCCAATCACTTAACGAACTCATAGTTGGACCATTAGTTGATTAAGTTTGATCATGGGAGGTCATATATTAACCTTTTTAACCTCTACTAATAGGTATCATTTGGGTATAAGGATGTTAAATCTTCCACCCTAATACTTAAACAACATAAATCAATCATAGAAAATTAATTTTTTTAATTTAATATCAAGCTTCTCGTAAAGCCATGTTTTCAAAATAATTAACTAAATCCCGCTTATGAACTAGTAATGTATAATCAATATTAGACTAACTTATTCCTTTATCTATTGAAGCTGTGCTAAATAAAGATTTTAAATCTTTATATTGATATATACATATGCATGGCTTAGTGAGTTTACATATTAGATTTATTTTAAGTATCTCAATTGGCGATAATTGGTGTCAGTGTTAGTGGTGATGGTAAGAATCAATATTATTATCTACAGTGAATGAAATCCTTATTAATGACAATGGGCATTAGTCTTATTAGCCACATCAAGCATAATTTAATTGGCAAAATTGCATTAACATTTTGAGTTATAATGGGCATCAAGTTATAATCAATGTTGGAAATTTTAATTGCCAACTTTATTAGTGATGGTGGGCATTAGTGTTGGCAACAGTGGGTAATAGTATTCATGGCAATAGTAGGCATTTACATTGGAGGCATCGGTAGGCATTAGCCATGGTGGGGACGATGGGCATTGACATTATGATGTTGGATAGTTGGAGATATTAGACAGTCACATATACATATTATATATATATATATGTGTGTGTGCGCGCTAATAAGACACCATAAAAATTTTGTGCAAGAATGAATGTTTAATTTAAACTTATTAAAAATTGTATAGAGCATAAGCTAAGTATCCTTAATTAATATATTAACCATGGTATCATGTAAATAACAAATTTAATGATGTAATTATGAAGCTTAAGCTCACATAAATTTTAATATAATATTTGTATTCAATTCTCATATGATCTAATTTTTTCACATGATTACTACTAATTATATTTTATGTAAATAGTAAGCATCAATGCATTAATTAATAGATAGAATATAAATCCAAAAAACCCCCCAAGATTATAGATAATTCTATTATAATATAATAACATAAACAAGACCAATTTAATTAGTAAAAATAAATTTCATTCTAGAATTTTGTTAATCATCTTTTAGACCTTGATAAATTTCACTCAAATAAAGATGATGACACGCATTTTGATGAATAGTAAGCATCATCTCTATGGTTGCTAATAATTATTTAATCTATGATAAAATACTAATTAGTAAGTCATAATTAGATGGCACATGCAAGCTTTATGTACCATTTATATAATTAGAAACCTTCAAATAAGATAATTAAAATGATCATCTAATAAATTATAGCTTGAAGCCTAAGAAATAGAATAATTTTGTTAAGTTCTTATTTGTTTGTAGCAAGCTTCACTTTATTTATATTAAACCACAACATAGACTTATTCAATACAAAAGCACTCTCATAGCAACTCTCCTTAACACACAAACCAACCCTTCTTATTACCACAACAATGCCAAACACACTCTCATTCAAGTAAATTTTGGGTTTTTAAGCATAGGCTCCAGGGTTGGCTATAAGGTGTTCTTCCACTGCCTTGATGCTCTTGATGAAAGCTTCCTGGGCCTTCTTGGTATCCTCAGAAATATCAACCCCAGCAATGGCCTTATATGTTCCAGTCACCTTGACAATGGAGCCATTTCCTTTTGGCTCGACTTTAATGTGTGTAGATGCAGACTCGATCTTAACGCCCAGATCTCCACCCTCCACAATAGAAATCTTCAGTTCAAGCTTCTCACGATCGATTAAATCAAGACGCTCCTTCACAAAGCCAAAAGGCACCGCTGTATAAGAACAAGAAAATCTCAATATCATAAGTAATTTAATTACTTATTACTAGAATTATTTATCCTATCTCCCAATGAAGTAAAAAAATTATTTGGTGCGGAGACCGGACATAGCGTGCGGAGACCGGACATAGCGCTATGTCCGGACTCCAATTAAAATTGGACTCGCGGATCAACATGGATTTCTTTGCATATTATTTTATCTTTATGTCTTGTCAGCCCGATCGGCCTCACTGACACCAATTAATTTCTCCAATGAAGCTCACAAGAGATGCAAGGACTTTTTACTAGAAAACCTCCCATCTTTTCAATGATCTCTCTCTGTCTTCCTTTACCATGGTGAATATTTTCGCACACAACAAATCATATCTTAATGAATCTGCTCAATTATATGAAATTGCTCATTTGTTCAAATCCTCTTTCCCTTAGCTATTTTTCATTAAAATTCAATATTATTCTTGTTTTTTTTTGGATAACAGATTATGAAGAACTTCAGCAAAACAGAAAAGATCCAGCAAGCTAGGAGTACTGAACCTGGGGTGAAGTTGATCTGCCTGATGCTCCCAGGCGTTCCACCTCCAGAAATTAAAGTAACACCAGTGATAAGTTCAGGGAGGAGCTTAGGACCGAGATTATGCCAGTCAAGAAAAGCAGCCTTGTAAATAGCAGCTGCTGAAGCTTTGGTCTCCACCTCCAATGTCCAGCTTGAACTCATCTTTCCTGGACTTAGTTTTTTTTTCTTTCGTTCTTGCTTGTTTTTGGTGCTTTGTTGAGCTGGTAGTGTTCATGGAGTGTGGATTGCTGGGCTTTTATAATGGATTTCATGTACTAGATTTCTTCATATTTTTCTAAGGTAGGCAGCGTGATTGAGTGATCTATTGACTAAAGTGGTTAAATGTGGAAAAAGGAAGCATGTGTTGTGGTAGATAAGGTCAGGAAATCTCACCTAACTTTGTTATTTAGTGGTTAAAATATAGAGAGAAATACTGTTGTAAATGGCCACGTAATTTGTTAAGAGATTATGAAGTTATTGGGAGAACATCTAGAAGTTTTTGATGGAGAGGGAAGAAATGGTCTTGCAGATTTTTTTTTAATAATGAAAGCTTTAGGTTTTGTTTGGAATGTAATTCTTATTATTTTGCTTTTCAGATCACAATTATAATTTTGTACTAGGAATTAAAGGAGCTTTCTAAAACAGTTTTATAAAATTATTTTCTCTACAGCAGCTTTACAAAACAATAAGAAAGTTATATCAAACAAAGCCTTAAAATTGCATGCTATTTGTTTTAGGTTTTGTTTGTGATAGCCTTAGATCACTGCTTTTTCCTTGCTTTTAAGAAATTTTTGTACTTAAAAGGTAGTTTTACAAAGCAATAAAAAGCCGTTTTATTTTCTTTTTTTTCGAAACATTCCTTATTTACATAAATAATAGATGACCCATGCATATTGTTCGCAAACCTAATTAGGATGTCGATAGGATGATCTCACCCTTGGGCTTACCCATAAATTGATCTAATTTTTTTTAATTAGACCATTTTAACCAATTTATGTTGAAAATATGCTCTAATTTGGACATTATTGTCATAAAGAAATTATCAATTCCTAAGTCATTGTTTTCTTAATATGATAGGAATTAGAACTACATTACTTTAGAAGTTGAGATGTCGTTCCTATCATGTATGATACTAATAATGTAACAAATTTAGTGAAGAATTATATTTTGGATTTAAGACTAGACATATGGACATTTGACATCTTTTTACTATGAGCCATGTATCTAGATAGGTGTGGATGTTAGACCAAAATGCTTTATATTTTAATGGCTTGTATATACGTGGGGAGGAACCGGCCTTGATTCTTAGGGGAGCAAATTTATAAATAACACATCTACACAATGCATTTAATTCTGCTAGGGGGCTTTTTTTTTGCGGGGGCGGGGG